TGCTTACAACTCTTCTCCGATCGGCGCGGTCGGAGCCAATTGGGAACTACCGGCCAGGGACGCTCGCTCGGTGAGGACCTAAGAAATTAGGTGGAGCGGATAAGGTAAGGCGCTCAAGTCAACCGCAATACCGAGGACCGTACCCTACACACCTGCAGGACAGCACTGTCAGGCCATGCTAGAAGAGTACTTTGCAGCCTTCCAGACATGTCAGAACACAAATAGTGTTATGGGCGCCGACATTTGTCCTATAGTATGGTAGGCACTGACATTTGCCATATCAGAAGAACACGATGGAGCATGTCGCATGCATCTGGGCGTTAACAGTATTGTAGGCGCCGACAAATTGTCTTGTACCCAACGGCGTGGGCAACAAGACTAGGGCACTCTCTCTCTCTCTCTTGAAACTTGTAAGGTCGTCCCCTTCATCTAGAAAAGGGGATGCGCTCTCTCCCAACGAAGAACGGATCATTTCGACTCTCTCTCTACTAGCTTTAGACATTCTGAGCACTAGAACAGCTTCACTGCTCTAAAACTCTAAAGCTACACAGAGCATACGTTCTAATACTTAGCGCACATAGGAGTTTCCGTCACTCTTGGCCCTCTAGTCCGGAGTCTGATCTGACCTCTAATACCCCCATCTTATTCCCACTCGTTTATAACCCCATAGCAAACTTCAAGTACCTAGGCTCAGGAATAAAGTCACCGGTGACTCAAACTAGACGTAGGGCACGTTGCCTGAACCAGTATAAACCCTGTGTCATTGAGTGCTAGGCCACATCCGATCACAACGTACAGCAAAACTATAAATATTTACGTGTTGGTCATTTTTCGCACCGACAATACTATATATATATATATATATATATATATATATATATATATATGTCTAAACTACCTCGTTCTATCGCTGTTAAATTCAAAGTAAACATAAATTATATGTGTCCACATCTATAGTAAATATACTTATAGTGAGAATTCATGTTAAATTACATTCAAATTCTACTACATTGAATTTTGCAAGTTGTTACTTTAGGCAAGTTTATATATTTTTACTAAAAAATATGACATAACAATACATGTAGTCTAATTGTAGGACCTCTATTGTTTTCATAAGCTAATACTACTACACTTATAATTATAATTCTCTGATAGGTTAAATCATATCTTGAGTACCTTAGTTCTAGCTAAAATGATTATTTTTTCACAAGGATGCAACAGGATCCAATATAATATATATTAATGTTATGACAACTTAATATAATTTATATTAATGTTATGACAACTGGAGAGAGACTAAGAGATATTGTGCTACCAAATAAATGTAGAGATAGTATGAAGATAATCAATTTTGACCGGTTATATGAGATATAATATCCATAACTTTTATGTTGTACGAATATTAAAACTGGAGCACAGGATGATGGACTAGTTTTTTAAACATGAATGATATAAGGTAGATTTATTATCAAAATCTTTTAAATATCATGATACCTTTTTTATAAATTGTAATAGTGCATTATTAGGCTCTCTAAATTTGGCAGGGCTTCTTAATAATGGGTTTCAGCTCTATCTTCTCTGGCTCTTCAGATGAAGCTTTACTAAACATTAGCTCATAAAACGGCTCTGCGAGACTGCACGGAGAAGAAGTTTTTTTTAGAGTTACACAGTACAACGCAAACGTCCATAACATATACGCACACTCACCCCTATGAATATACGTACGCAAACCCTACCTCTATGAGCACTTTCGAAGGATTGAGCCGACAGATATCGAGATTCACGAAGTCACCACTGGCGCCTCGCTGTCGACGGGATGTCGCCTACCACTGAAAGCATAGCGCCGTTAAATTCTAGAATAAATCCAGAAAAATACGAGCACAAAGATGCACCACATAGCCAAACCATGAACTAATTAGACTTCAAAAATTCGTCTCGTAAATTAGTCACAATCTGTGCAATTAATTAGTTTTTAGTCTATATTTAATACTCCATGCATGTGTCTAAATATATGATATGATAGAGAGTAACTTTAGAAGATAAACTAAACAAGGCCTATATATGAATGTCCGTACGTTCTGATGCCTGATGGGTAGCACAACTGCCCATCAAGTGTGTTGAGGACTACGCCCTGTTCGTTTGGACTTGTTTGGCTTATAAGCCATGACTGAAAGTACTGTTGGCTGATTTGGTATGAGAGAAAAATATTGTTTGTTGGCTGATAAGCCATGACTTATAAGCCGAATATGACCAAGCGAACAGGGTGTAGACCCAGCGCACAAGTAGTTCAATCAATCTCCCTGTTGTATTCGATATATATTAATATATATTATATTATATAAATAAATTAAATAAACGACCAAGAAAATGATCTACCGCCGTCAAATGCGGCCACCACAAAGTGGAGTCACTGATTACTAACTAGCGGCTTACCTAGAATTTCTAGGAATATCCTCCGGAGAGCGACAAGTAACCATGCAATAACTCGCCTACGAAGAATCCAAAATTAATTAATAAGAGCCTTCTTAGACCTATTCTCTAGATTGTAATTTCAAGAGTTATTTTAATAAAAACGCTCTCTATATATCTCCACCCTTCAAAGCAAATTCTCTATATCTTATTTGGTATTTTGAGAGCCAATTCCGCTTTTTATCTTTGACAAACGAGCACTAGAAAAATGTCTTTAGGAGATAGGCTCCCTGATTAATGGAGGTGGGCACATCTAGGGACCACATCTAGCTGGGCTATGGACTTGCATGTATGCTTATTTTTTACTTGGCCAGAGATCTCATGCACCTACAGCATACATATCTGGAATCCTATCTGGAATTGGACCTCTTGCTTTTAAGGGCTCCGTGTGGCCGCCCAGCTCGATCCCCCTCAGGGCCGGGCTTGGAAGTAATATGCCCAACATATATTTGAGTGAGGGTAGAATGGTACATGCTTACAATGAAAGCGTTCAGGAAATAATGGAGGTGAGCTATTGCATACATTCTTTAGTATTCATCTAGTGTCAATTGAGCTAAAATTGAATTGTAGAGTGTTGCTTGCTACATTTGAACGCCTGCCATGACAGTTCCTTCTCCCCGACTCTACCATCTCTACCTCCAGCATATGTGGTTTCACCAACTCCAAATCCCTGTCCTACGAAACACTCAAGGGAAACACGTCCGATCCCTAGGGTATTTTAAGACTTTCCCTATGGTTTTCGATCCTAGGGAAATAGGTGGATTCTAGTAGTGGATGGCCTTTTTATCTGTTAGTTGTTGGTCTATTGTTTACTTTGTGAGAAGTTTGCACAGGGACACGGAATAACTCGCAAAGATTGGGGCCAGGATGGGAACAAAAGGGTCCCGACGACATTCGCAAGGTTGAAAATAGAAACCTAACCCCCTACGAGAAGTTCCACGTTCGCATCTCTAATCGACCCTCATCCAAAGAGTACCGCAAAAGGGCTATTACATGCTATCAATAATTCCACCATATCTCTTATATTGTATTTCCTATAAATTGTATTAGAAGGATATATTAAAATCTATTTATGATATGTTGTTGTAGCAGATTATTTAAATGGACTTACTAGTGCCCGGACGTCCGATCCGAGGCGCTAGCGTTGGACGATACCCACTCAGCAAGCGAGTGAGCACCCCAGCAGCAGGCTTGCGCTGCCCCGGACGTCAACCGCACCGCCAGCCGCTTCCCACGTGTATCCCATGTGCAACACACGATTTACTTTTTAAACATCCATATGCAACAGTTGCAATATACAAAAGAAGACAGATGAAACACTTGAAACATGCGTCTGAAAATACTTACAAAAACACCTAAAACCCCTTGAAAACCACTGCAAACATATGCAACATCCAGATGAAACACTTGCAACAGACGTATAAAACATTTGAAATACTTGAAACATACGCTTGCAACATGCATGTATATGCAACATCTAAATCTACTTTTGCAACATTCAGATAAAAACACTTGCAACATATGTCTGATACAGATGAAACATTTGAAATATACACTTGAAACATACATGCATAGCCATTGCAACATGTGCAACATCCCGATCTACTTTTGCAACACTGATACGAAACAATTGCAACATACCTCTGAAACACCTGAAACATATGTTTACAACATGCGCTTTCAGCACAACTACATCTCCTTGCTGCTTGGGAATGGAGGCTCATCGGCGTGTGGAGTTCACCGGTGTAGAGCTCACCGGTGGAGCGGAGCTCGGCGCTCCGGTGGAGAAGGCCACGACAGGTCTGGTGGAGAAGGCCATGACGGATCTGGCATGAGCTGTCACCGCTCCGGTGGAGAAGGTCGTTCGCACGCTGAAGAAGACTGTGGTGGAGATGGAGGAAGGCGGGCGGCCACGGCGGGCTGAGGCGCGATGGAAATGGAGGAAGGCGGGCGGCCGCACTCGGGCACGGTGGAGATGCCAGCCGACGGGCACTCAGGATGTCGTGAAGAATGCCGAGGCGGCACGGCGGAGTGTGGTCATGGCGCTGCGGAACGGAACCGTCCGAGTGTTGGAAGCCTTTAGGAGAACGGAAGCGTCCGAGTGTTGAGACGATACGACTGTTGGGCCGTTGGGCTGGTGTCGCGGCTTGCGAACAGGAGCGTCTGGACGATCGTACGCCCCACAACATTTTTGATATTTGAAACTTATGTTTTATATTTTTGGGATATATAAGAGAGTGTTATCTTTTATATTTGGAAGAAAGGAAGTTATTTTTAGGAGATTCTTTTAGAAAAAAAAAATATGTATAGAAGATGAGATAGGGCATCTGATATACAGTAGCAGTAGCATCTATTATTATGACGTGTGCTGTGCTACAGGAGACTGAAGACCCAATCCAATGCTTCAGGGTTCTGGCTGAAGGCAGACCACACCCACTCATCCTGGCCACACGCGCTCGGCACACGGTCCATGACTCCATGTGGACGGATGAGAGAAGCAGAGTGAGCAACGGACCAGAGCCGAGCCCGCCATGTTGCCACCGCTGCTGCCCCTCTTCTCCCCGTCCCCAAAGGCCCCGCCTCCGCCGCCATGGCTCCACGGGTCCTCCACCCAAAGCCGCGACTCCGCACCCCCGGTGCCTCCACCCCCTGCGGAGGCAACTCCTCCCAAGCCCCGCACCGACAGCCCCAAACCGGCACCGGCAAGGAAAAACACCAAAACAACAGCCAAGCCCCTCACTGCCGGAGTCCCCGGGGGCCGCACCCACCGAGCGGTCCTCGGCATCATCCGGCGCGTCCGCTCCCTCGAGGTCTCCGATGCTCCGAGCCCGAGTTCCGTCCACGCCAGCAATGCCGGTGCCACCGCCACCGCGTTCCACCTTCCAATCGAGCCGTCCCCGCCGCGGGAACCAGGCCAAGAAGTGGTGGAGAAGGCGAAGCCGCGGGCGGTTCCGTGGGCGGCTGCTAGGGACGAGGACCTCAAGGTCGCCCTGCGGCGGGAGAAGAAGCCGCGGGAGCCGACGCGCGCCGAGACCGAGCTGGAGACCGACGAGCTGGACCGCCTGCGGCGGTTGGCGCGAGGGATGGGCAGGTGGGCGCGGGCCAAGAAGGCCGGGATCACCGACGAGGTGGTCGAGGAGATGCGAAGGGAATGGGCCAGTGGCGAGGAGCTCGCCGCCGTGCGCATCGTCGAGCCACTCCGCCGGTCCATGGACCGCGCCAGGGAGATTCTTGAGGTGAGTGAGACCACGAGGCTATTCTCGCTCAATGTATTTTGTTCCTTGGGGTCTGATCCCCTGAGAACTGTATGCTCTCGGCATGATGATTTTGACCTTAGCACTTAGAGATTTGAATTTGAGCTTCAATTAAACCAACGTAGCTAGTAAGTTGCAGTTTTGATGCAATCTTTGAAAGTTTTTCTTTGGCAAATTGATTTTGATGCAAATGAACATTGGCAGTGCAAGAGTGTAATCATGGTCGTTCTTACCAGTTGCCACCATCTAAAACTTCAGACTGCCAAATGCAGATTTAGTTGGGAGTACTGTAGTAATAAGGAAATGGTGAGTGGAGGGTGTCTAAACTGATGCAAAGAAGAATATGGACCTCAAAACGGTGCTAACTAATGTAGTGTCTGAAAGGACCTCGGATGTCGTCTAGAGGGGGTGAATAGACGTTTCTAAAAATTAACACTCTTCAAATAAAGAGTAATACCACCTCTCACAAGTTAGACACAGAGTATACAAGGTATAAAGAATATATATATAAGCTACAATCCTACAACACAAAGTTAAAACAGAGAATAAATATTTTCAGCACAGGTAGGAAATACCGGACGTGTCCGGTATACACGATTTGTGCAGAGCAGCCCCAAACTTGCTCCTTTCAATTTCTATCCTTAAATCAAACTGCAAGTATCTATTGGAGATGACAATATACACACAGAACCTTCACAAGAGCTAGAGCAACACAAATATCGAATGAAATACGAATTGAGACACGATATTTGTTTTACCGAAGTTCGGACTCGCTTGAGTCCTACTCTCCGTTGAGGGGGCTGCAGGTGACCCAGCGAAGATCAGCCCTAGAGGGTACCACGAAGGTCACTCTAGCCGGAGTCCTTTTCAACTCATTTTCCGCCTTCCACTAGTTGATTCCGAGGCGGCAGAATCGACCGTTACAAACTTTTCGAGGCACACCACAATCTCTCGGGTGCTCTCCGGCGACGTCTAGCCGTCTAGGATCGAAGAGTCCAAGAGTAACAAATGCAAATCACGAAATAGACAATATGCTTAAGTGCTCAAGTGGTGACTTGCTCTCTTTTTCAAATTCTCTCTTAACCCACAAATGGATTTGGCAATTGGATGAATCACTCACTAAGAGAGGGTTGGAGAGTGTTTGCAAGGCTCAAAAACGTGTATTTATGTCAGCAGAATCAACAGCCTTCAAAGGTGGAGGCTTGGGGGTATTTATAGCCCCCTTGAAAAACTAGCCGTTTTATAGCCGTGCTGCCCCAACGGTAACTGAGTAATAGTGTCGTTGTGAGGCGTCGGAACTCCCGATGAATGCCGGAACTTCCGACTGTCGGAACTCCCGACCCTCAGCACATTCGAAAACTATGGTAACTGAGTTAAAGTATGTGAGGTGTCGGAACTCCTGACGCATGCCGGAACTCCTGACTCTCAAAGCATTTGAAAATTAGTCGTTGGCCTTTGGCCGTTCATACCGAACACGTCCGGCATGACCAGGACAGTGAACTCCCCAAGTCAGTTAAGCACGAGACATCGGAACTCCCGACCATTACCGGAACTCCCGACCGTCGGAACTCTCAACTTACGTCGGAACTCCCGACGAACCAACCCAAGAACATTGAGAATTTTATCGTGGCTGGGCACATACCGGACATGTCCGGTACCGGTATTGCCAGACCAGCAAAAACAAGTTAGCTCTTTTGTCTTTCAAACACTCTAAAAACTTACATGGGTTGGCTTGAGCACTTATGAAACATTATCTATCAACATGATGCATCCCTCTTAATAGTACGGCATTCCTATTAACTCAAATTTAAAAGTATAATGAATTTAAACCTTTTATGTTGATCTCTTTCAACCGAAGCCGTGTATTCCAATCTTCATCAAGTGAGGGTACCAACATGTCAACTTTAATCTTTTTCACTTGAGCATAGCCATTTTGAGCACGTGACTTAATTCTATTCATTAAATACGAATAACTCCAAATGCATCAAGTCACTTTCAACACTTTGTCCAATATAGATTTGATCCTCCACATCAATATGACCATCATAGTTTGATTAGTACCTCAACTAAATGCAAGTACTTTTTTCTTCACCCTAGCTAGGTTCTTTGGCCGTCAAGCCGTCGCTTGCCCTTCACCCTTGCTTAGTACCTCGAAACCTTTTCTTACTATCTTCACCATCTCAAGCCATCAAGTCACATATTGTGTTGAATCATCCATTCATTTGTATTGTCATCTTTTTTATTTCAATTTAGCAAGCTTTAAATATGAGACCATTCCATATGCGATCCCTCATATCTCATCAACTAATTTTTACCGGGCTTGCTTTCACATAGTACATGGAAATCCCACAATTAATAAGTCTTTGCATGCATTCCATTTGCATTATTGTCTTGTGCTTGAATTAGATTATTTATACAACAACACATCATTTTGGCTTTTATTAAGTACCTGTGAGATAACCTATTACTTGTCCACACTTAGCAAACGGGTTAGACCTTTAATCACGTTGTCGTTCAATCATCCAAAACCCACTAAAGGGCTAGATGTACTTTTAATCTCCCTTTTTAGTGATTGATGACAACTTGATTAAAGCTTACAAAAGAATATAAATATTTAAGCTTTTGTGTTCAATGATTTATGAGAGGCTCCCCCTTAATATGTGCTTATGATTAGAATTCACAAAATGACCTCAAATGTCAATTTCACAGACTAAAACAAATAGGAGACTCCCCCTAAATCATTGCATCCATGGGGTGCATGTGTGTGTGACAAAGTAAAACTGTGATGCATATGACAAGATATATCACACAAGAATAAATATAAAGGCATTACATCAAGTATTTTCATTCTAGCATGCATAGTCCTTATAAAAATAAATACAACACATGTATGTCACACATAACACTCATTACACATTTTCTCAAGTCCACAAGCCACTAATATAATATAAATAAAGATCATGTCTCAAGAGATACATAGATAAAGCATAAGTAAGCCTCATCTCAAACTCAAGATACATCAATGAAGCTCAGAAACTAAAAAGAAGCTCAAGAAACTACAGCCTGTAGTACATATCTTCAGGTATAAAGATAAGCAAATGAAACTATCCTAAAGCTTTAATCAGTCTCTCTCTCCCTTTGTCATTTATCACCACGAAGATCCAACAATGACATACTAAGGACAAAAGGGCTGCAAGCTGTCTCTTAAAGTTGAGATCACTCATCATCTTCATCTCTACCAACATCCTCATCATCTAAGCGTAGAGCACCGGCTGGACGAGAACCACCCGCACTAGATGGGTCATAGCCACTGGACCCGTAGTAGCCGAAACTACCCGTGAGATCACTCCAACCAGTCTGAAGCATACTAAATCAAAGCACTAGAACGTGGCTGAGAGTGAGTAGGCACCCAAGCCTGTAGTGGTAAAGTGTCAGGGTGCTCTGGTGCTCGCTTGGCTGCTTTGCTCGTGTCATTGAAGGAACTCAAAGCAAACTCGTGGTCGTGACATGCCTGCTGGCCGCTCCTCGGCCTCGGGCTCACTAGCTGTCTCATCTGATAGTGGAGATCTAGGAGGATCAAGCTCAAGTCTAGCAGCAATCTGCTTCAGAGTCCGAGTGTCCCTCCTAGCCTCCCTCTCCTTCTGCTGACAGGTCCGTATGTCCTTGCACATCTCAAAGATAGCACTGAACATCTTGCGAATAGGAGGACTGCGGCGACATGAAGAAGAACGTGAAGGAGCATGTGGTAGAGGGGAAGCTCGTCCTGCTGCTGCACCACCTGCAGGTGCATCTGCCTCTGGTGTTGCTGCTGCTCCTCCTGGTCCTCTGGAGGTACCCCAATCTCAGTCAAGTCATCTACTATCTTCAGGACTTTATGCTTCTTGTCATACTCAAATGTGTCATGTGATCTTCTCAATCATAAATATGATGTAAGGTGCAAATCCACAGCCCTTAAGGAGCCTCTCTCCCACACTCCTGATCTCTGACCAAATAAAGTCAAAAACACTGAATGGTTGTGCATCATATGTCATCCTGTGGAGCAGGTTCCTAGAATAATTTGCAATGTTGCCCTTGTCTCCTCCCTTGCAGTCAATGGTCTTCCTGAACATCCTGTCCAGGTATCTGTAGGTAGGGTGAAGACCTAGAACCTTTCCCACTGCTCCTCTCTCACCTCCTGGATGTAGGCGAGCTGCTCAGGAGTTAACACCTGCTCTGTGTGGATCCTGTCTCTCTGAAGGTCCTCCTCTGAGAAGCCAAGAAAAGCTGCAAAGGCGTCGTAGTCAACACTGTACCACTGGCCCTCAAGCATCCAATGCATATGCCTCGGCTCCTCTTCCACAAACAGAGTGGCATAAAACTGTGCAATGACTTCAGAGTTCCAATCATGCACAAACTCCAGGAGCGTGTATACACCTGTGCGCTGACAAGTGGCAATAGCATAGTCAATGGAGGACTTCCGTAGCTCTCTGATATGTTTCCAATCTATCCACTGAGACTTGGCTACCACAGAATTTCTAGCAAGTATCACACTAGTGTAATAATTTAGATGGAATATAGTGTGAAAGCGATGATCATATTGAATCCTAGGCAAACCTCTGGGATCAATCCTCCTCTGAACTCTTGCTCTCAAAGTCATACCCTTTCCTTTGTAGTTGACTCTGACAATATAGTTGGGTAAAACGGGAGCATGTACTTCAAGAAGGCCATAGTCCATGCCCTGACCTGGGTGGTGCACTGGAGGTGCCTGCTGCTCCTCCTCTATCTCCATAGAGCTGTCACCATCATCTGACTCTCTGTCTGAGTCTCTGTCAGTGCTCTTTCTTTTCCTGTGCTCAAGTCTGTAATCCTCAGTTTCATCACTAGAAGAGGGGCTGCTATCACCATCACCACCCTCTCTGTACTGTGGAGCGCCCCTAGTGGCTCTAGAGGGTCTCCTGCTGCTGCCCTGCTCCTGCTGACTGAATCTGGGATTCAAATCCTGT